CCAGAGAAATGCGTGGGTCAGGGATGACCTAGAAGGCACCAAACCAGATATCATGGGAGCTAAGAGTCCTGTCAGCAAAGCCCCATGCCAGCAGGTGTGGGAGAAGAGGGGGAGGGGGTGCCAGAAAATCTGAGACATTGGGAGGTGAGGGGACAGAGAGAGACAGAGCTGGGGTCCACAGGTAATGAGAAGCTGGCTGCATCTGCTCCTCCTACCTGAAGTGTCAGATGCTGGGCAAGAGAAGCTAGGGGATGGTTTCTAAGGGAAAAGACCAGGAGAAAGTCTGCAAAATGGGAGAAGGGTTTCTGCATCCCGGAACTGAATCTAGGCGATGAAAGACTGGGTACAAGGTGTTTGACACTTAGGAGGGAAAGGGGAGTCATATTTGGCACCTCATATTTGCCAGAATCTGTGGGAATGTTTTGTATACGTTTTCCTCCAGTCGACATGACGGCCTAATGCGGTGGGTCTCACGATTGTCATTTCACAGAAGGGGAAGCGGAGGCCCACTGAGGCAAGGGATTTGGACGAGGCCACTCAGCTGAGGAGGGGACTCAGAGCTGGTCTGCTGACCATGAAGCCCACTTCTCGAGGCCTTTCACTCCCCAGGGCCTACCCTCTCCACTCCGCCCTAGCCCCAGATCTGGGAGCGTGGTGGGCCTGGGGGAAACCTTGGGTGCTGCTGGGATGTGAGCTCAGGGTCTTCTCTCCACAGACAATGCCCTCAAGGGCACTTCCTGGCTGGAACAGCTGCCGCCCAGGGTAGAGGGCAGATCACCCGAGCCCAACTCGGCGGAACATGAGGAGGCCGAAGCCGGGGTCTCGGATGGAGCGGACTTGGCCCCTGGCACGCCCTCCTCAAACCCAGCAGCCACCCCCACCCCCATGCCCACCACCAGTCCCCTGCCCACCGAGTCACCTTCACGCCCAGAAGTCCCCAGCCACGGTGAGTAAGCCTCACAGGGGTTAGCAAACTACAGCCCGTGGGCCAAATCCAGCCTTCGGCCTGCTTTCGTACAGCCCTTAGGCTGTTTTTACATTTCTAATGGGTTGTAAAATAGATATATATGGGGCAAAAGTATGTGGTTTGGAAAACCTAAAATGTTTACTATCTGATCCTTTACAGAAAAAGTTTGAGGACATTTATAGTAAAACAGGTAGTATTTTCAAGAAATTCTTCTTTAAACATCACCTAGAATCCCATCATCAAATCCAACAAGTACTTTCACTTTATTTCTTCTGCCCAGTCTCTGACCCTGTTTTTATGTCCACATGTGTGATTTTGGCTTGTGCCTTTCAATAGACTCCTCCTCATTAAGTCATCGAGCCCATCCTTCTCAAGGGCGTCCTGGCTACCCGTGATAGCAAGCCTTACAGCCATCCCCTCCTTCGGTCCAAGCACACCCCATTTCTAGGAATCTTTCCTCAGGATTCATCAGCAATGTGGACAACAGCTGCAACTTAACTGGTTTCCTCGCGGCCTATTTCTAATGTCAAAAAACGGGAAATAATCTAAAGGTCTAACACCAAGGGAATTGGCTAAAGAAATTCGAGGGCACAGCTGTCTGGTGGCCTGGTAGAACCTTGAAATCACATCATTAAAAGGCCACTTAATGATGTGAGAATTGCTCAGTGAAGGGAAAAAACAGGGTACTCCACACTGTATATTCAGAAGAACCAGGGTTTTTAAAAGTACGTCTTCATGACTGTACATGCAAAGAAGAGGAAGGAAATTCAACATACTAAAAACCTTTGGAAAATGGAACTTTGAATGATTTTTATTTTCTCCATTCTCCTTTTCTGATGTTCCGTGTTTTTTTCTCTTGCTTTTTGGGTTTTGCTTGTTTGTTTGTTGACAATGATCAGACATTGCTTTGATCGTGAAGGAAAAAACAAAAGGCTACAAACAAAACATCAGAAGGGATTTAAGTTAGACCCAGAGAGTGTCCCCAGGATTGTCCAAATGCTGCTCCTCTCGCTCCCCACAGGCAGCGAGGCCAGCTGTGAGGGCACCCTCCGGGCCGTGGACCCCCCCGTGAGGCACCACAGCTATGGGCGCCATGAGGGAGCCTGGATGAAGGACCCCGCCGCTCGGGATGACAGGATCTACATCACCAACTACTACTACGGGAACAGCCTGGTGGAGTTCCGCAACCTGGAAAACTTCAAGCAAGGTCGGGGACCCCGGAGATGGGAACAGGACAGGGTGTGGATGGCCTGGGGAGGGTCCCCCTTGGAGACTTTGTCCTCCTTGCTTTGTGGTTTCCTGTGATCCAGACTTCCCCAGCCTGGCCTAGCTCCGAATGGCCAGCCACCCCAAGGAGGGGAGTCTGAGGGCACCCCCTACATGCTGGTTCTGTGCCAGAAGCTGGAATGCCCCAGCAAACAAGATGGATGTGGTCCTGCCCTCACGAGTGCCACTTACTGTCAAGGGAAACAAAACTTACAGTTTCCACTAGTGCTTATTATGTGCTAATCACCCTGTGTGAGTCAGCTTCTATTATCTTCATAACTCCAGGAGGTGGGGGTTATCACCCTGTTTCACAGGTGAGCAGGGCCCCAGGCCTTAGAGGAGCTGCAGGTCTGGGCAGGGAAGGGCAGAATTTTGCTTATCAGATCTGGGGCATAGTTGGGAAAAGGGGTCATTTAGACATGAACCACCCTCCAGATACGCAGGGTATTATTTGGGAGGCAGAGACTTAAAGAAACAATTTCAGTATAATGTTAGAGGGAGAGCTTAGGGGGCTTGAGAACCCAGCCTGGAGATCAGGGAGACTTCCCAAGGGAGGTGATGCTGAGCTGAGCCCTGGAGGACAAGCATGAGTAAGCCATGCAGAAGGGAAAGGAGTTCCAGGCAGAAGGCCCAGTGTGTGCGAAGGCCTGGCAATGAGAGGAAGCACGGTGGCACAGAAAGGAGGTAGGGGGAGTGTAATGAAAGGGTGGGCTGAGGCAGCCCTTCTGAGCCACGTGAAAAAGTCTGGACTCACCCTGAGAGCTGTGGGGTCACAGGGTACGACCTGGAACAGCTTAAGCCTTCCTCTGCCAGATCTAACTGACCTCGTCTTTGCCTCAAGGGGCTCACAGGCTGGTGTGGAGGAAGCCAGTGCAAAGTGCCAGGACAAAGGGTTATGGGAGGCCAGAGGACAGGCCCTCACTCAAGCAAGGGTGGTTAGAGAAGGCTTCCTGGAGAAGGTAACATTGGCCAAGGGCTCTGAAAGATAAGGACGTATTCCCCAGGCAGATAGCAGATGGTGAATGGCAGTCCAGACAGAAGGAACAGCATGGGACAAAGCATAGGGGCTGGTGTCAGCCTGTTTCTAATTCCTGGCTGTGCCATTCCATTCTGGGTGACCTTGAACTCTCTGAATCTGTTTCTTCCTTTGGCAGTTGGGATCATCAAGTTCCCCCTTCATGGGACTGTGAACAGATAAGATGATTGGCCCAGCTTCAGGCCCATAGCACACTGGTATCCGTGGCTCCCTGGGCCACTTGAGAGCCCTGGGTGGCCTCACTGGCCTCTGGGCGGGCTGGGGGTTGCCAGGGAGGCTCTGGTGTGACCAGGCGCTCTCCCCACACAGGCCGCTGGAGTAACATGTACAAGCTGCCCTACAACTGGATAGGCACCGGCCACGTGGTGTACCAGGGCGCCTTCTACTACAACCGCGCCTTCACCAAGAACATCATCAAGTACGACCTGCGCCAGCGCTTCGTGGCCTCCTGGGCGCTGCTGCCCGATGCGGTGTACGAGGACACCACGCCCTGGAAGTGGCGCGGCCACTCGGACATCGACTTCGCCGTGGACGAGAGCGGCCTGTGGGTCATCTACCCCGCAGTGGATGACCGCGACAGCGCCCAGCCCGAGGTGATCGTGCTGAGCCGCCTGGACCCGGGCGACCTCTCCGTGCACCGCGACACCACGTGGAAGACGCGGCTGCGGCGGAACTCCTACGGGAACTGCTTCCTGGTTTGCGGCATCCTGTACGCGGTGGACACGTACAACCAGCGGGAAGGCCAGGTGGCCTACGCCTTCGACACGCACACCGGCACGGACGCCCGCCCTCAGCTGCCCTTCCTCAATGAACACGCCTACACCACCCAGATCGACTACAACCCCAAGGAGAGGGTGCTGTATGCCTGGGACAACGGCCACCAGCTCACCTACACCCTCCACTTCGTGGTCTGAGCAGGGACCTGCGCTCACCAGAGAGGAGTGGCAGTGGGCACGGGGGCTCCCCAGAGGGTCTTCTGCAAGGGACTCCATCAGCAAATATTTTGGGTGCTAGGCAGGTGGCGAGAGCCAGCCTAAAGCTTCCTCAGCACCCAGTGGGATAATCGTGGCTTCCACTCACAGAGCACTATGCCAGGAGCTTCAGGTGCGCTAACCCACTTCATCCTCCCAACAGCACCCTCGGAGGGAGAGAGAGTTAAGCCCATTTAACAGATGGGCACACCAAGGCTCAGAGAGACAATGTCCCTTGCCTAAATAGCCTCAGTTTGGATCGAGCAGGCCATGCGGTCACAGCAGCCCCATTTTACAGATCAGGAGACTTGGCCATGTTGTCCCCATCCCTCCTCCCCTAGTTTCTCTGTTCTCTCAACTCACCCCTTCCAAGGCTCCTCAACACCAGGCGCCTTGGGAACCAATGCCCTAATGTCGAGTGGAGGCCCAGTTACGTTTGCCGCCACAGGCCTCCGTTCCGGCTAACCTGTCGGTGGCCCCAGGCTTCGGGCCCGTTGGCTAATGTCCTTGCTTCTTGCCTTTGGCCAGTCCTCCCACTCTACCCCACCCGCTGTCAAACCACATTCCAAACCTCCATGGTCACCCAGCCACTGAGCTGAAACCACACCCCGAGAAAAAATACCGGCCCCCGTTCCACGTTCTCCCGCCCTCTGTTCTCGTTTTTTATTTTCTCTTCTTCGTCAGTGCTGTCATTTGTTTCTGCAGCAGCAGCTGAGAAGGCTGTAGGCAGCTGCAGCCAAGGCTCCCTCGAAGCCAGAATTGCTGGCTTTGGCCTCATACCCAGGCTGTGAGACCACTCCCCAGTCCCTTCCAGAGTCGTTGGGCCTGGGGTCCACTTTGTCCTTTCTCTCTGGACTTTTGAACTCACGGCCTATACACACACTCAGGGATACCTCCGGGTCTGCCATGAGCAAGGCCCGAGGCTGAGGTGGGGCAAGATGAAGCAGGTTCCCTCGTCCTTGTCAGTCTTGACTTAGTCATTTGGTGGGATGGCCCAGCAGCCTGGCGGGCTGGGGAAGGCTGAGATCAGAGCAGTCGGGTCTAGGGGAGGCTTCGAACCTTCTGATTGCAAGAAACAGCCAGAAGGCTTTTCTCGTCTTCAGAGATGTTGATGCCAGGGCTGCCCCAAGTCCAAAACTTGGGGCTGAGGCAGCACAGGTGGGCCACCTCACCTGGTGCTGCTGACGGCTCCCCTGAGCCTTAGAACCAGGCAGCTCAGGGAACAAGACCTTTAAGCCTGTCCCTCATCTGCTTTGGACAATTTTTAGAGCTGGGATGAAGTTCTCCAGTCCAACTCCCTGTTTCACCAAAGGAGAAATAGGCCCAGACAGGTTTAGAGAGTTGCTCGGGACCACAGTGGGAACATGACACAGCCAATCTCTTTCCAGAAGGGTTTTGTCTATATCCTTTACTCTCCCGGCTTAGAGGCAGCTCTGCCTGGGAAGGCAATAGACTACCCAGCACCCAAGCCATCCTAACACCTCTGAAGCGTATTTACTGCTGATCCCTACACAACCCCCAGACTCTACTCTCCTCACTCTGTCCCCACGCCAGCACCCAGATATCTGTGTATTTGAATGCCCAGCTGCCATGTCAGGAAATTTAGCTGCATACCTAAGAGTATAAGGAAATGCATTTTATGCGGAATCTATTTCTTTATATCATCAGGTGATTCCTGTATTGTCAAGCATTGTCAGGTGATGTTTTGTTTAAGCTGTAACTCACCCCTGAAATGAAGGGGAATGATTACGCCCAGCCAAGCAAGGTCTGACTCATAGTAGTGGACACGTCCAGCCTCCCCCACCCACCCAGCCACCGGCTCCACTCACAGGCTCTTCAGGGGGGCTGCGTTTCCCTTGACCCTGGGTGTGGGTTTTACAAGACTCTGTCTTTCGTGATATCACAGCCCAACCATGTGAGAAGTGTTCAGGCTCCTCTTTCTCCATCAGTCTGAGAAAAGGGAAAAATAGAATGGACCGATTTCGAAAAAAGACAAGCAAAATTGTTTTCTGGGGGAGATGATGCTGGCTGCAGCCTCCAAACATTCACTAAGCCCTTTCTGTTTTCAGACTGTTGTCTGTGGGTTATGTGGTATGTACAGTTATTTTCCTCATTTTACAAATAGTCACACTGCAGCCCAGAGAAGTGAAGTCACTTGTCATGTAGGCAGTCAAGTAGAGAGCCAGGTTTGAAAATCGGGTCATATAACCAGCATCGTGGACTGAGGATCAGCAGTGTGCAGCGTGCCCTGTGCGTATTCTGGCGTCTTCATAGCAATGGATGTGCGTACTCTGAATGTGCCCATTTTACAGGTGAGGGAACTGAGGTGAGGGGATTTACCCAAGGTCACGGAGCAACTTAGTCTGTGGCAGGGTTGGGGTTTCAGGACTGGTCAGTACATGTCCTTTGCCAACTGCGTGCGCTCCAGAAATGGTGGCTGTCATTTTTATTCAGTGTGGCTAGGTCACAAACTGCGTCCACACAGGAGACCCCCAGAAGGAGGCTGGGGTCAGCTCTTAAAAAGCCTTGAATGCAAAGCCAAGGAGTAACTGCCTCCAGTCACAGTCACATTTGGGACAAAGTCGAGTATAAATTAACAGAGAAAAGAAAATGCTAAGACAGTTGGATTTATACCAAAACCTCAAACTAACTGTTGTTAGGGATCTTGTAACTAGACATGTTTTCTGTTTTGCTTTGGCCTCTGGGAAGCTCAAAGTCAAATTTGAGATTATTTTTAACAATTGTACTAAGTCTCCTACTGGATTCTGGCTTCGTTCTAGCTTTCTGCTTTTACCTTTACCCTGATCTCTTTATTTTTATTGTATTGTATTTTATCTATTTTTGTAAGTTGCCACAATATCTTTTTTTTTTTTGCAACAAGGTGGCATATAGCTAAATAAATACATGATCAAAAGTTTGACTTAAAAGGCTCGGCTAAATGCTATGGTCTCCATCCTTTTCGTAACACAGACACTTAATAACTTTTAAAAAAATATTTAGTTTGTTAGGAGAATTGGCCTTGTCACCACGCTGTTGCTAGAAACTGATCTGAATGATGAACTACGGCAGGAGAATCCAAGTCAGGCTGAAAAATCAGACCCCTCCCGGTGGAGAGAAGCCAGCAGCTCCCAAGGTGTTCCAGACACTATCCTGAAGCCCCACCTTCCCATGAGGGCTGCAGAGAGAAAAGTACTGTTTACACTCACTCCTGGCTCAGAGAATGTGGGGCTGAGGGATCGGTAAGAACAGAAAGAAATGCTTTCCTGGGGAAAAAGCATCATGGCATTGGGGCCTTGAGCACCGCGCCGTCCCAATTTTCCAAACTTGCGTCCTTCACTTATGGACTCTGTGATTTTTGCTACTTCCCTTTACCATCTTTAGTACGCTTTATGATTTCTCTTTCAGATGATTTCATTCTTTTGACTAAAATAATTTTATTTCAAAGGGAAGCTTTATCAGCTGTTAGCAAAAACAAAAACAAATTTGTTTAAATTTCCTAAAGGAGTAGCACGATCGTAAAAAGAAAGCCAGTGACCACAAATACAAGGACCAGATATGGCACTGAAAACGAGCAGCACTGTTGCATTCTGGGGACACTGTGCCTGTGAGCCCCGCCCAATCGCTTTTTGTGTAAAGAAGAAGATTAGCAAAAGCTCAAGGGATGTCAAGGGCCAACCAGCAGCACGTGGACATTGTCCTTGATGTCATCAGAGGGATGGATTGGGAAGGGAATGGCTTCTCCCATGTGACTTGATGGCCCTTCACACGGTGGTTTAGGCACCTTCAAGGAGCTCTCAAACCACTGATGGGTGACTCAGGTTGAGACCATTTTCCCCAGACAGACACACACACACACACACACACACACACACACACACACACACACACACACACACACACACACGTTCACACACGCTCGTCCACATATACACACAGTTAAAAAGCAGTAAGTGTCTTAAAGGATTGAAAGAGCCCACAGAGCAAATCAGGCTACTGTTCCCCAAAATGAAGCATTGAAAGAATCTGTGAAGGTTTGACCCTTAAAAGGCTAATAGAACAAGAAAACACACACACACACACACACACACACACACACACACACACACACGTTCAACCAGGCCTTCCCTCCCCAGCCTCCCCCAGCTGCAGGCCAGCCTCGACAGAGCCCCTGCCTCACATGGGAACTGGCCACTGTCCCTGTGGCCCCTGGTCATCACAAGGATCCCACTCCCCACAGTACCACTCTTGCCAAGGCAGGGCTCATAGGGCTGTGTCCCTCTCACCATGCAGACCCCACTGGGGCAGACCCGAGTCCCAAGCAGTCCCAACATAGTGGGCTTTGGGTCATCTGGACCGTGGCCTCCCTGCTCTGGCCTTCACCAGCCCAGTCTCATCTGCTCCCCACTGCCCCCTCTTCCCTGGCCTTTGCATCAGCTAGTCCCTCTGCCTGGCACACCGGTACCTGCACCTGGGTATGGCTGCCTCCCTCTGGTCATCTCAGCTGAGATGTCACCTCCTCGGGGAAGCTATCCCTCAGTGCTGGGTCTAAAGTTATCCCCAACCACATGTTCTCTTGGCTCTTCACTAGCAGGTATTTATTAGTTTACTTACTTAGGGTCTGTCTCCCCTCACTGGAATCTGAGCTCCCAGAAAGCAGAGCTTGTTTCCCACAATGTCATCAGCACCTAGGGGAATCCCCGTCCCCGCCTGCAACAAACGTCTGCGAATGAATGAGCGATCCTCGGGCAAGTTCATGCACAGTCTACTGAGGCACCAACCACCCTTGGCTCTGAGGTTGTGGCCACTGAATCGGACATACTTTTTTTATCTATTTGTGCAGCATATTTGCTGAGGCCATCCATAAGTCAGGTTCCACATGGAAATCTCTAGAATGCAATCTTGGATCAGATGGGATATTTCCATTGACTTTCTCTACCCTACAGTTCTCTGAAAATGAGAAAACCCATCTTCAGGGGGCAATACCTGACTAAGCACTCCACCCTGGTCTGCAACCAGGGACTCGCTCGGCAAAGGGAGCTGTGGCCTTTCTGTCGTCTGTGGCAATAATACTCTCACAGCGCTGGACATAACGGGCGCTTGGCTCAGCACCCCAATTCAGTTTCATGCCCTCTCAGTGGCCGACAGAGGGCAGAGGCCATTGAGTTCAGTGGATCTGAGGACAGGACAGACATCTCACCCTTAACAGCTTGGCTAATGGCATCACCTGCCGGGAAGAGCCGTGGCAACACTGGCGGGATTCTGTAACCCCGGAGCGGGATGCCCAGCACGCCACGGGCGTTCTGGAAGCGGTCGCTCCTGTTGCCACTGTGACCAGTGAATGCTGAGTTCAGAGCATCCGCCTGCTCTCCTGGCAGGTCCTTGCTGTGCACTGTGGCCTATCCAACATGATTGACACCATGTGCCGGCCCGAGGGCACCTAGCAGAGCAGGTCTCACCCCGCCCACTTGCGAGCTTGCTGGGACGTGGGGAAGCCAGATGCGATCATCGCCACATGGTATTCTTGGCGCTCCAAGAGCAGAGCGCCCGCGGGGGCTCCATGTCCTTGCTAAGGAGCGTGGGCTTCTGGAGCCACGGAAGGACCCCCACCTCCCAACCTGCCTTCATGTCACAGCAGAGCCTCCTATCGTCACCTCCGATGCTGTGGTCTTCTCTCTGCCCTTTTGACTTTCTCCCAGGGACTTTAAGCCCTAAAATCTCCCCTTGGCCGGGGAGATAGTAAAAGCTACCTAGAGAGGCCACAACGTCCAAGCGTGTGCTGTGCCGGTCGCGGTGCCGAGTCCTTACGACATTATCTCATTGAACCCTCCCAGTAACCCCATGATGTAGCACTGTTGCTGTCCATGTTTCACAAATGGGGAAACTGAGGCACCAGCTACTCCATCGCATGGTAAAGGTCACATGGCTGGTGGCTCCTGAGCTGCAGTGCCATCCTCTCAGAACACCACACGGGTCATTCTCAACTCCGGCTCCCGCCAGAATCACTGGGGAGTTTTAAAAGGTGCCACTGCCCAAGTGTCACCACAGACCGACACATCGCAGATCCTGGGGACGAGGAATGAGAGCTGGTGTGTTTTCAAAGCTCCCCGGGAGACTGTGCCATGCATCTGGGATCAAAGCCTCCCGCCCCTCACTCTCCTGCAGCTCAGAAGGAGCACCCCAGGCATGATGGGGTTGGGGTAGATTTGTCACATGCCGGGCCACACCCAGGAAAGCATCCTCCACCCCGGGCGTCCCAGAAGAGGGAGCAGACAGAGCAGGCCTTAGCCTGCGTGTGTCAGCTGTTTCTCCCCAGCGGGGCGACTGCGGTGGGGGCGGGCCCTTAGGGCCCAGAGCACAAAGGCTTCCTCTGCCCTAGGCGGTGCCCAGACACTGCCCCGCTCGCCCAGCCCAGTCTGAACTCTGCCCACGTCTGGGGCCAACCCCTCGACCCTCACATTCCAGCAGGGACCCCATGAGGCAAGAACAGACAGGGCTTTCAGGATGCACGCCTGCTGGGGGCATGAGTTATTACCGAGAATTATCCGCCATGAGCACGGGGTGGCATTTCACGTGCCAAAGGTTGGCCGGCCCCTCCCTGGTTCTGGCTGCTTGGCTCCAGGGCCTTCATTCCAACCTCACAAGGACAGAAACTTTATTCTCTTCCACAGCAGGAGGCCTCCACCCCTCACCATCTGTGTTGCACCCCCTCAGCAAGCCCCCATCCCAACCCCACCCAGGGGCCAGTGCCTCTCTTCTACACGGCTCAGTACAGAGAGGATGAGATAAGGGTGATTCAAAAGTCAAGTTTCCCAGGTCTTTTCAAGCCAGGCATTTTAGCAACAGGGAAAGTCATTGTTACGAAGATGTCAGCCCAAACCTGTTTTGGCTTTTCTGCATGAGATCCTGACAAATGCAAACAGCTGGCACAGCTGGCATGAGCTTCTCATGGAAGGAGCCAGGGCTTTTGGAGCCAGATAGATATTTGGTTTGAGTCCCGGTTCTGCTACCTGCCACCTATAGAACGTGAGCACTCGACTCGAAGTCTCTGCTCTCAGTTTCCACATTTATAAAATGGGTATGACAACCTTGACTTTCCAGGTATGTGTTAGGTTGAAATGAGATAACGAACATGACGAAGCTCTAAGTGGGAACGTGAAGGGCACACAGCAGAACGAGGCACAATGTACCGTAACAGACCTCAAAGACTAACGTAAAGCATCACCCTCTGTCTGATCCCCGTGGCCTCACGTCGGGACAGACCCAAAGAGGATCGTTAGCAAACCCGAGCATATCTTCAAAACGGATGACTTTCTTTGCCTTCAATGACAGGGAGCAGGGAGGCCAAATTTCTTTCATCCAGTGTGTCTGCTCGGATCGATTGGTAGTGCCTGTCTATGGGAGCTGCCCACCAGGCCCCGCACCAGGGAGGACACGGATTGATTAGCAATGTCTGCCACGAGAATAAGAAGTTCCTGTGGTGGAACGTATGCTATGTTTCACCATTTCGATTTTAGGGCAAGGTGTAAATAATACTTCTCACTCTAGTTTTTTGCCTGGATTTGTGTGACACTGATCTTTCTGCTTCTTTCTGCCTTCTGATCCTCACCTTCAGCTGTTAGAGCGAATTTCCTAAAACGAAAATCTGACCATTTCACTACTTTACCTATCACTGTCCCCTGGCTCCTCCCATTGCTCTGAGGATCAAACCACGCTCCTGAAGGCCACCTTCAAGGCTTCCATTCACCCTCGCTGTCTCATTCATGGCCACTCACTTGCAAATATCCCAACCTCAAGCCCCATTGAACTGAGGGACTTTAAGAAGTAAGATATGAAGGTTTAAGGCAGCTTAGAAAGATGCACTGAAAACCCCGTGCCCAGACCCACAAGGTCATATCAAGATCAGAGAGGGGCAGCACAGAGACCTCAC